GGCAGCAGAATGAAGACTTAATGGAAACCATGTGCACCAGCCGACCATGAGCGAGAAGCGCGTCCGACCATCTGCGGAAGGCTTTCTTGCTGCCGCTAGACGGGATTTTCCCTAGCCGATCACCAGTGGAGATGAGTCATGAGTCCACTGTGACAACAACACGCGGCACGCCTGATGGCTACCTCGCAGCCAGGACTCACCAGCTCAACCAAACCCAAACTCCGTGTTCAGAGAATATTGCTTTTGATTTGTTAGATTGAGTGGGTCTTCCGTTTTCACAGTTGTTTTGCTATATGCGGACAAGTATTGCGAATGCCATCGTGGAACAGCTCCCGGGGTTGGCCGCAGTAGTGGGAGAGAACCGTCCTAAACGTCTCAAAATCTCCTTTCTCCGAATAGACGCTCCGACCTCACATTGCAAAGATAACTCGCCACGTTCTGAGGGAAACTGGCTGGACCACGATACCATGTCCATCGTATAGCCCTGGCATCACTCCATCGGGCTATCCCCTTCGCAGTGCCTTGAGCAGCAGCGGCGAGAGTCACTAAATACAACCACTCCAAAAACGACCTTGCTGAATTCTTCAGCTCATAGCTTCACCCATTCTAGGAGGAAAGCATCCAAGGTTCCCTGGCGAATGGATGCATATCGGTGATTATGATAATGGTTATATTTTTGATCAATTGGTTTTAGGAAAGATAAAACTTGAAGAGAAGAAAGTGTCGAAATTCGGCAGGAATTATGGGACAACCCAATATTTTGGAGTAATTATAAAAACTGTACACTTGAACTTCAATCATTTTACCTGCGATGATTTCAGTTGAGAAATTTCTCTTGCAGGAATGCGAATCGTTCGAGTATTTGGGATGCGATGGTAATTCGAATAATTTCGCCACCAGGCAAGAGTGCGAAGGATATTGTGGAGTCGGAGGTAAGCTTCAGTGCTCTTGATTTCAATCACTGATAAAGCCTAGACCACCTTTAAAGATTAGAAGTATTAGCCTCCAGCAGCTTACCCCTTAAAGCAGGATTCTACGATAAGCGGTCGAAAGAGGGGTATATTCCAAGTGGAAAAGGCAGGCGGGCTCCCTAATTGTAAGGGTGCGCGACGATGTGCGTTCCGGAGTGAAGGTTATGTCCCAGCGGGCCGAACCAGCGCCGCTGCATTCCGACTCAATTGGCTGATTTCTCGCCGTGGTACTCTAGCCGTTAGGGCAGAGAGAGCCTCAGCTTTATGAGGCCAGCGCCAGTGAGAATCGCCCTACAGGGAGAAAACCGGTACTAACACTCTTAAACTGAAAGGCCGTTTCTCAAGATTTTTCATATTCCTCTTTCATCGCAAATCCGCCCAAATATATGGTGCTATTCACTGATAATCTCGTAACCTCAGCAGAAGTAACCGTAGTAATACTGAAATTTTCTGCCTTGTCAGTTCCCATGGATCAATGAGGAGCACAAAAAATTGCATGCAACGGAGTTGAATTTTTGAAAATAAGTGAACATATTCAATTAGGTTGTGCAAACGGTGGTGTGCCTCTGCGTGATAGCTCGGGATCTATCCAAACATGCTCGGAGAAAGACCGGTGGCTGTCCGTCTACACACGAATGCTATGCCGTTAGTCTCGGACCTGATACGGTATCACACCGTTGCTGCCCTACAAAATGTAGGTATTTTAACTATTCATGGATATCCGAGAGTTCTACCCAATTGCTTCAGCCTACATCTGCGCATTACCGCCGCAGCAGGGATCTTCGCTGTGCTCGGGGGGTGTCTACTCTGTCACTAGGTTGAGTGGTCTCTTAGCCTCTTTTCTTGCAGAAAATGTTGTAGTTAAGAAATTGTTTTCAGATACTACTTCAACATCGTCACCAAAAAAGTGTTCGCCCTTCGCCTTCAACGGTTGTGATGGAAATCCCAACAATTTCGCATCGCTAATCAATGCAACAACTTCTGCACGGCTCTGGTAATCTGTTTGCTTCAGATGTCAGGGTTTGGGCGGTCATGCGCTCGTGGGTCCCATGCATCGTCATCCTGGAGCTCAGCGAGAAGAGACTGAAGGAGTGTTGGTTAGGTAGTGGTTAGCGAACTTGCATGGAGTCCCAAAACTAGAACAGGGCCGGGCAAGTTCGGGCTTTCTTTTGTGCTCTCGTGGTTCTTCGCTACTAACATCTTGAAATTTCGGGCTAGATTTTGCAGTTTGCCTTTATAATGTATCTTCTACCACTTCAGTGAGCTCCGTCGTGTTCTAGTTAGATTGATTGCTTTTGAATGCACCTACAAGAACTAGCCTTCTACCACATCAAAGAGCTCGTGTTTTAGTTAGATTGTTGCTTTTGCCTTAAGCTTCTAAGCTTCTAAGCGACCGAGCTGATCTGTGGAATGGGATCAAGTGGGGGTTCAACCACGAGGTCATCCCTGTAGGGCTTGAATCTCCAAGACTTAATCAGCTTGCTTTCACTGACCTAAATTTGATGCAACTTTTTGCCAATACATATCTGGTATGAATAGTGGTCCAGAAAAGTCGCGCTGACAGCTTAACCGGGACGTGCAATTCTCCTCCTGAGGTCAGGTCACCAGAGCTGCGCGATCATTGAAACCTAAGGGTAAGTTTGGGTTTGGGCTTAGGCTAAGGCCTATGCTTATAACTTTGGTCTTATCAGTTCTTCTAACCCCACCAGCAACTTATGGACAAGGACCGTTAAGCCAAGGCCCATACAAAAATCGCCGCACCATTTGCCGCGCGCGACGCTGCCCGCCGCGTGAGCGGCGTGACCTCATTAGCCGACGATTGAATTGACCGTCTCCCCTGGGCCTAGGCTTATTAGTCCTTGCCATTAGCTTGCTTCAAGCAAATGAAAGATGTCCCAATTTTAGGTGACCTGACCTGAGGAGGAGAACTGCTAACCCGAAACCCGATACACAAGTCTTGAAATTGATCCGCGCATAGCAACAGGTCACGAAGTGCTCAGAGGCGCCACAGTTATTCAGTGGATTTCAGCTTGTAAGGCAGGCGACGTCGTATATCTCAATCCAAACAGCCAGACGCCGATCTCTTGCAACGACGAAATCCAGAACAACTGTCCGAAGAATTTCCAAGTGAGCTGCATTTGTTTTGAAAGCAGCAATCAAAACATATAGGAACTTTTGTTATCACAGTGACTCCAGCGCTGTTCTTCGCCGTGGTTATAAATCTGAGACCGTGGGCATCAAGCTCCGAGCCGGGAATGGTTCTCTAAAGGCATGCCCCAGGATCACATTGGTGTGGTTCTTGCACACGAATGCGAATGTATTGGTGCGAAATGGGCCGGCAGTGAAGAAAAAAGGAAAAGAATCCGTCGAAAACGCTTAGGTTAAGGGCAAAGTTCGGGCTCAGACCCACCTAATAAGCCCTTAAAGTGGCTAGAAGTGCATGGGAC